AGCTGTGTGTGTGTGTGTGTGTGTGTGTGTGTGTGTGTGTGTGTGTGTGTGACGGGAGGGCCTAAGATGGGACTTTAATAAAAAGGTATATAATTCTTTTCTTAGCACTGCTTTAGGCTGCATGCACATCCTGGGAACAATTTCCTTGTTACTAAAGCACCACTCATGTGCCTGATGTTGTACAAGACAGAACAGTCCAGTCCCAGCACCAAAAAAGATTACGTTCTAAGGCCTTGCCCTTGTCTACACCAATGGAAAAAGTCAATCTAAGCTACGCAATTTGAGTTACGTGAATAGAAGAACTCAAATCAACGTAGCTGAGGTCTACTAACTGCAGGGTCCACACTACGCAATATCGATGGGAGACACTCTTCCATCAACTCCCCTTATTCTTCTCGATACAGTGGAGTACAGGAGTTGATGGGAGAGTGATCTGTGTTATATTTAGCGGGTCTTCACTAGACCTGCTAAATCAACTGCCAATGTATCAATCGCCGCTCGTCGATCCCCCGGTAAGTGTAGACAAGCCCTAAATAAGAAAGACACACTGGGAGGCACAGAAGAGGGACCGACGAGCATTTAAAAATTATTATTGCTAAGTCATGTCTTCTGGGCACTGCAGAAAAAGTGAGTCTTTAGGAGGGATTTGGACTGGAACAAAATGAAGAGGACATTGATTTTTCAGAGGTACTAATCACCTGCAGTTCCTGGTTAGTCTATGGATCAACTTCAGGCATCCAAGTCTGAAAATACTGGCCTCTATGCATGAGGAGCTATACTGAAAAGGCTTGGAGATGGTTGTGGGAAAAATGGAACATTTAGGTTGGTATCACTGGTGAAGCAAGAAGATTCCTAAGGTTGCTGGAAGAATTTTTCTGTTGACTTAGCTACCATCTCTTGGAAAGGTGGATTAACTATATCAATGGAAAAACCTCTTCCATCCATGTAGGAAGTGCCTACGCTGCGGCATTACAGTGCCACAGCTGCACCACCATAGGTAGGGCCCTACCAAATTCATGGTCCATTTTGGTCAATTTCATGGTCATAGGATTTTAAAAATAATAAATTTCACGATTTCACCTATTTAAATCTAAAATTTCACTGTGTTGTAGTTGTAGGGGTCCTGACCAAAAAAGGAGTGGGGGGGGGTGTCACAAGATAATTGTAGGGCGTGTTGCAGAACTGCTACCCTTACTTCTGCGCTGCTGCTGCTGGTGGCCCTGCCTTCAGAGCTGGGCAGCTGAAAAGCGGCAGCTGCTGGCTGGGATCCCAGCTCTGAAGGCAGAACCGCCACCACCAGCAGTGCAGAAGTAAGGATGGCATGGTATGGTATTGCCACCCTTATTTCTGTGCTGCTGCCCGCAGAGCTGGACCTTCAGTCAGCAGCCGCCACTCTCCAGCCACCCAGTTCTGAAGGCAGCAGCACAGAAGTAAGGGTGGAATGGTATTTATTTCTGGGCTGCTGCTGGTGGGGCAGTGCCTTCAGAGCTGGGCGCCTGGCCAACAGCCAACACTCTGTGGCAGCCCACCTCTGAAGGCAGCACAGAAGGATGGTAACACTGGGATCCCTCTAAAATAACCATCCAACCCCCTTGCAACTCCCATTTGGGTCAGGACCCCCAATTTGAGAATCGCTGATTTCCCCCATGAAATCTGTATGGTATAGGATAAAAGCACTCAAAAGACCAGATTTCACAGGAGGAGACCAGATTTCATGGTCCGTGATGCATTTTTCATGGCCATAAATTTAGTAGGGACCTATCCATAGGGTATGTGTACACCCTAAGAGATGCTTTAGCTCCAACAGATGTTATGATCTTGATACAGAAATTACTGGCTGGGTTCTATGGCCTATGTTATACTGGAGTCAGACTAAATCTATAAATTTTGGCCCAGTAAGGCAAATTTAAGTGAAATTAGTCTGCAATGTTAAGTTCCTAATTTTGCTTCCTTGCATTAAAAATCCATTCTCACTCAAATGTAGAAAAACATGGCTCAGGCATGGAAGTATTATTATCCCAATTTTACGACAGAGAAACTGAGACACAGAGACATTGAGTGACATGGCCAGTGTCACACAAAGCAAGTTAGGATAGAGGTAGGAATTTAGAACCCAGATCTCCTGGCTCCTGATTTTGTGCTTTAACCTCGAGAAACAAAAAAGGAAATTGTTCATAAGGAGTAGAGATAGATGTGAATTAGTGCAGGGTCTCTTTCTATGAGAATGATTATGGCCATGTTTAGTAGTATCGTAAAGATTGAGATTCTGGCAACTGCAGAAAACTTTTTAAGCCACCAGATCTTTATATGCTTTGCCCATGAAAGGCATTACATACTAATGCTAAACAACAGTAATAACCAACTGCAGGTAGTTGTAACATTGGGCTACTTTCACCCATGGCTTTCTGGATTGCTAGGAATGGCCAAATTAAAATTATTCCTCTAGAATAGAGCGGACAGAAAGAGGTGCAATGAAAGAGTGTAAGGTGGGTTCAAATCTGTCAGTCAATGAGGTTCTTATTTACTATGAGAAATCTCATTGGCTGTTAGTGACCTGACAGAATATCCAGCTTTGCATTTAAGATCCAGGCCCACTAAAATAGAATAACTATATAGAGAGGATCACTACAGAGCTTTGGGACATTTGGTTCCTGGAAGATGTCATAAGAATAGGTTAAAAATTAACTTGTACAGGGACAGTTCCTGCAAGATGGAGAACTCCCAGTGGGAGTTGAGGGCATTCAGCACCTAGCAGGCAGAAGACAGTACTACCTATATTTAGTTTTTCTCTCACTACAGGCTTTTGCTTTCTTGACTAAATATGAGGTTGCCATCCCCTTATTTATTCCAGGAATTCATATTTTAGTAGCGTGTCAGTCTTATCACAAACTAAAATAGCCATCCCTTTTCCTTAATAAGTCACTTGTCACATTATAGTGGTATCTTACAGTACCTTTAGTGATGAGAATTGTTTTTCCTGAGTGAATCTGCAACACTGTACCAAATCGATGGAACTGCATGTGGCCATGACCCCACTCCACCCATTCACTTTTAAGATCCACTATTTGTGGACAGAATAAATCTCTCTTGCTGTTCAGATTTGCAAGACTGAAGACTTTGTCCTTGAAGCTTCTTTACCTCACATTCAGATAAAAGTAGGCAAACTTCTGGGTCCAAAAATAAAGTGGCCAACCTGTATATGAAATGGTTACTTACTGCAACTGTGATTCTTTGAGATGTGATGCAGACGTATATTCCACTTAGGTGTGTGCATGCTCGGATAATTTTGCCTAGCAGTACCCATAGAGGAGCGATGCTTGTGCCTCATGGCCATAGCCCCTCCCTTAGCTATATGAGGTGGCACAGCCCCCCCCCCCCAGTTTCTTCACTTCAAATGCCCAGAGCCTAGACTCTGATGCAGAGGGCATGGAGGGTGGGTCATGGAATACACATCTGCACCACATCTTGAAGAACCATAGTTACAGTAGGTAGCCATTTCTTCTTTGAGTAGATGCAGCTGTGTATTTCACTTAGATGACTCACAGGCAGAACCCTGGGAGGCTGGGCTCAGTCTACCTAAACAAGGCTTGCAAGACCTCCCTACCAAAACCTGCATCTACTCTGGAAGATGTGGTGATGACATAACGGTTCATAAATGTATGTATGGACAACCATATGACAGCCCTGTCCAATATTGAGATGTCACTCAGGAACACTATTGACGTAGCTTGTGCTCTCTTAGAATGAGCTCATACCTACTGAGGAGGCATAGCTGAAGTTTTTTCATATGCAGTCATGGTACAGGATCTTATCCATTTAAAGAGTCTGTGAAGAGACTGCTTGCTTCTTCATATGATTTGCATATGCACAAACAGGCAAGGCAAAGCCCGAAACAGCTTAGTCCTATCCAGATAGAAGGCTTGACATCGCTTGACATCTAATGAGATGAATGTGGCTTAGGAAATAACAGGTAAATATACTGCCTGGTTCAAATGAAACTGAGACACCACTTTAAACAAAAATTTTGAGTGTGATCATAAAGTCACTTTGTCTTCAGACAATTGTGTACAAGGAGGCTCCGCCATCAGAGCCTGCAACTCTTACACTCTTCTTGCAGATGTTATTACTCCGCTTTCCACAACAGTGGAAAGGACCCAATGCCAGAGGCTCAAATGGAGGTCCCATTAAAGCTGCTAGGACTGTGTTAAGGTCCCACAGAGGAACCAGCTGTCAGACTGGAGGATGAAGAAGCCCTTTTAAGAATCTTGCTACCATGGCAATGGAAAAGACAGATCTTCCCTGAATGCTCTAGCATGTTGATATGCTGTGAGCACTCCTGCTCTGACCACAGACCTTCAACTTTCAGCAACCCCACATATGCCCCCCAATCCATCAGAGAAGCATCAATGACAAGAGACCTGGTTAGTAAGGACTGGACACCCTGGCAAACCTCCTCTGAACACATCCACCACTGCAAGGAGTCCAGGACCAGTTGAGAAAGATGGGGGTAAAGAGTCGGATGGTAAATAGTCCCAAGTCACATTTGGAGAGGGTGAAGGTGCAACCTTGCAAACTGGACCATCTGCATGCAAGTGGACATGTGGCCCAAGAGCCTCAGGCACATCTAAACTGCCATGGAAAGCTGAGACTGGAGACTGAGGTAAAGATGGTGAATTACCTGAAAATGGCCAGTTGGCAGAAACATTCTCAAACTCATAGAGTCTAC